TAATAGAATATAACTTGATAACCTATTCAACAGATCTTTGCACAATTCTGATGAGTTAACTGATCAGTTCTTACTATAAGTCAATGTGCATAAATTCTAGGAAATAGGCTGGAGCTTAAAATGGAAGTAAAAGTAGACATTCTTGAAGCATATTGATTGAATAAATCGACCTTGTTTGAATCGATAATTTATCACAACATGTAGTCCTTTAATCGTTATTCAGATAATAATAACGAATTAATAATAATGATGATGATGATATTGATGATGATGATGATGATGATGATGATGCTATAATTCTATACAGAGAATTCTATCCAAAGACAAAACAGGACACGAGACACATTCAATATTTTGGACTGAAAATGCCCCAGTGGCTATTATATGCTAAACTTATCAGATAATTGTGGACAGCTCACCGTCGAAATTTGAGCTTTTAAATGTGTGTGAATCTGTGTGTACAGAATTATCCGCGTTTGAAAGTTAAATTTTGCCAATATTGATATTTCGGAATAAAATGGGTAAATTAAAAATTTGATATCACACAATCAAAAAGTCAAAAGGTGACCAGATAATACGAATCCTCTTTTGTATCCCTTTATTCCGGCGTTTATGGTGATAAACACAGATAAATATTATAAAATATTCTTATATATAAATAATTGTTTACTAGAAATATAAATTGTAGAAAGCATAAAGTTTATGTAAATGTATATTATATTATGTATATATTGTGGAATAAATAGATAAACCATTTAAGAATGCTGCATTTCAGGGCAAAAGCACAGGCACCGGATTCTGGTAAAAAAAAAGCATACAATAGTATATAAATATAAAGACAACCAAGTAGCCATTTTGTTCTTCGAATCTCCTAAAAGTATCTGGAGCAGAAATAAATAATGATTACATCATAGTACACAATGAATAAATTCCTGTCCATTGATTGGTTAGACTAATTGGCGAGGTTTCTTCAAAACAAACCCATGTGTTGTCTTTAATTTTATTTCCAAATATTTTATTAATTAATACAGTATTTACGACCAATGAAACAAAAGGAATTTGAACAAGTCCGGAGAATGAAATATTTTTATTTGGTGAATGATGGGATATTTCGATAAAATATATGTTAAACTGTAAAAATGATTTTTTTTTTAAAAAGAAATACTTTACAATGCTGTCTGAATGTCAAAGCCTATACAGAAAGGTGAGAATATTGAAGGGAAACAAGAAATATCACCGAAAAACAGTACGACTTCCAGAACAAAATGGCTACTTGCGTATCTTTATATGTAGATACTATATTATGGTAGTGGTGGGTATCGCGTGCGTAGCAGACCATGCTTACTTTTTTCGGAACACCTGATGGTACTTTTCTTTGGAGGAGTTCACTACAATACTGCCTTTACTCCCGATTCTGCCATTTTTTGGAGGAGATTTTGATTAACGGAATTGTCTTTCTTGTCTAAATAGCAAATAGTGTCTATTTGAAATATTCTTTTTACTGAGAGATGGCAATTATAACATTCTGTAAACGGAACATGCATCAAAAACATTAAAGCTATCGTACCTTAATCATGTCAAATTAGACATCTATAATCATAAAAAAAAGTACGGACCAATCTAGTTAAAATTAGATTACAATTTCGTATTATTATTATAACTTTTTTTTTGTCGGTTGCAAAATAATAACGAAAACAATTAACTGTAAGCAGTCGTTAGATTTGTTGAAGAAATGTGGCAGACTACTACCCTACTACTTTGACACGATTTTTATTTTGAGTTTTACTTTTTTTGAAATCACGATAGCTTTAAACGTCTTCTTATTAAATCGTATAATCACAGAAAGGAAGTAGAGAAAGAAGAAACGAATATTAACAATTCTAAGAACGTATCTAGATATCAAACAATTAAATAAAACTTCAAAACGAAGCAAGAAAATGAAATGAAATAAATGGAGTTTTACGTCCTACTTTCCTGCACCATGTAGGCTAATGAAGATGGGCAACGCCATGCAGGGTGCGATGAGGGAAATTTTGCCAGGACAGCGGCATTAGCCTGCTCTTTTTCGATTTCCAACTGTCGAGGAATCTTTAACGTGCACAGCCTGTAGCAGACGGGGCCTCGGTTTATTGTCCCATCCGAACGACTAGACGCTTTTTCCATGTCAGCCCCTCTTACCTGCATCACTGACAGGGGGAAACCGGGTTGAAAAATCCGAAGGTATTATCTCGACCTATGCCGGTATTGAACCCTGGAGCCTCAGGTTAGCGAGCAAGTGTCTAACTCACTGAGCCACCGCGGCTCACCAAAACGAAGCAAGGCTATCATAAAGGTGCAAATCACAGAAAATCAACAAATCACAGTAAAACAACAAATCACACAAATCAACAAATCAAAAAAGAGCTGTATCGTTTACTGTTACAATCGAGTTTTGATTTCAAATGGAGGCAATGAGAGACATTACATATTTCACACTATGTTAGTAACATACATATATTACATACATATCATATTAACAATATTTTTCAAACTAATTTTTTCTAAGAGAGAAAAACAAGAAAAAAAGTAAACTATTCTGTATTTCAATCTAATTAACTTAAATAAGTCATACCAAATAGATCTAATGTTGTTAATATTTTTATTTTCAACGTTTAAGAATAAAAGTGGTGTTTAATATTTAAAACAGAACAATGAACATTAAAAATGATAAAAATAAAATAAACACCAATCTCTCTTCATCTTTTACAGGCTTCAGGACAGTTCTGAAAAAAAAAGATCAGTTTCTCTCATGTTTGTCGCTGTTTAAAGTTGTAAGTGTAATAAATGAAACACAAATAACACACAGTGACTCTAACATAAAATATAGATCTGGATATTAAACTTAATTTAAGTACCAAATTTAGTGTTTAACCAATAAGATAAAGTAAAGTTTTTGTGAATAAGATCCCTGATTTAATTTTGTAGTTACCACAGTCTGAACGAAACGTTTAAAATTAGAAAATTAAAATAACGCAAAAGTTGTATATGCAGCACCTTATCACACAGCCACGAGATAGATCAGATTAATATACAGCCACGAGAAAACGCTTAGATAAATTTACAACCGCGAGGTGGAGCTCAGATAAATTTATGACCACAAGATTAAGCTCAGACAAATATACAGTCACGATATAGAGTTAAGATAAATGTACAGCCAAGAGAAATCGCAGCCAATTCTAAAGCCACGAGATAGAGCTCGGTTAAATATACAGCCAAGAGATAGAGCTCAAATAAATATATACGCCAAAACATCGAGCTCTGATAATAGAGTTTAGATAAATATAGAGCCATGATATAGAGCTCTGATAAATATAGAGCTACGAGATAGAGCTTAGATAAATATACAGCCACGAGATAGATCTCAGATAAATAAACAGCAACGATATTGAGCCGAGATTAATTATACAGTCAAGAGATAGAGCTGAGGTAAATATAAAGCCAAGAGACAGATCTCAGATAAATAAACAGCAACGAGATAGTGCTGAGATTAATTATACAGTCAAGAGATAGGGCTGAGATAAATATAAAGCCACGGGTAGAGATGAGATAAATATACAGCCACGAGATAGAGCTGAGGTAAATATACAGCCACGAGATAGAGCTGAGATAAATTTACTGCCTGAGCCACGAGACTAATGTCAGATCTTAGTAATCTAAATATAAGTGTATCAGGTTGGGAAATAATCTCTTTATGATTTTTTTGTTCAAATATCTTAAATTCAATTGCGATCTCACACATACCACAAGATGCAAACTTTATCTTTTGGGGTGATGTTGAAAGAATGATACTAGTCAAAAGATAGAGACTAAACTTACAATTAACAATATTAGATACATAGTTGACTATTTGTCTCGTCAATTTACAAGCTTTAGTAGACTGATTTCCATCATAGACATCTTTTGGAACTTTTGGAAAATTGACAGTATCTGGATATCTCATTCGTGTGTGGTCAATGATACAAGACTGTAATTCATCAGCTAAAGAAACCAAATCTGGATACTGGGTAAGGCCACATGCTATGATAGATAAATTGTGCTGTTGTGAAACTTTGTATGAATCAATGGTGTACCACACAGCTTTCAGAGCCTTCTCAGCAGCCTGAAAACAAATCATACATCATCATCATCTGATTAATAAACACTACACCACATATTGTGTATTAAATCAATCCGTAATTTGCTAACTCTTAAGTGTACATGTAAATGATAGAATCGATCACGATACTTCTGCTGTGTAGACTTCCTCAGGATTGTCTATGGTCTGAGGCTAACCTTTTGTTTGTCTACTTTATCTGGACACAGCCATGTGAAACACTTGGATTACTCAAATTCAGCCGTCTTCACAGACACCATCTCCATGGCCTTGACGATTGATTCACGACGGCAATGCAAAGGGTTAACGTTGTCGTGGTGCTTGTGACAATCGCAAAAGCGAAAGGTGACACGATTTGACAAGATGTCCTTAGAATGGTCATACGAAGGGCAAATTAAAAACATAAATTCAACATGAAAACAAACCATCACAAGGTCTTTCAGCCATTTGTTTTGTTACCAACGATTTTGATCGTGTGTCCATATGGTGTCAATTCGGGACATTGTGAAGCCTTAATTAGTAACGTAAGAGTAATGTAACAAACCTGTTGACACATGTAACAAATCCAGTTGTAATTATCAGATCCCTGATTGTGAGACTCTTCTGCAGCTTCTATATCAAACCTTGCTTGTTTGAACCATCTTCTAGCTTGATCAGATCTTGGGATTGGTCTGGTGTTGGAGTGAAAGCTGGAGTCACTATAGTAAGACCTACTAGATCTTTGATGGTTGGAATACTGTGCATAACTTTTTCCTCTTGAATGCATATTTGAGTAGAAACTGCTGTAACTACCACCAGCATCATTTGCAGAATTACCACCAGAATAGTAGTCTGCAGACGCACCATCAGTGTAATCTTTATCATCCTCATCGTCGTCTTCATCCAAACTCCCCCCTTTCTCCAAATATCTTATATAGTTAAGTATAGTTTGGGTGATTTCTGTAGCGAGTTTCACAATGTTTAGATTTTTATCAGGATGCCATTTCAATATCAAACGTTTAATGACTCGTTTTCTATCAGCTTCTGGTAGTTTCCAGGCTTTATTTAATAGCTGTCTGATTTCTTTCAGTATGCTGTTCTTGTCACCAGGAACAGTAGATTCAGAAGGAATACGTCCTTGTTGAGATTCCTCGCTTAGCACTATATCTCTTGAGCTATTTGTTAGATTGTTGTGAAATTTGTAGATTTTGGTCAAGTCAACGTCTATATTTCCTTCATCACCAATATTGATTTTATACCGAGCAAACTGTGTTTCTGTATCTTTTTGTAAAATGTCTACGATAACAGCATAAATATAAAGTGGAGTATCTGTAACATTATCTTCTGTCTCATCATTAACAGCGGGATCATAAACCTCGTATCCAACATACTCTCCTACATAAAAACGTACAAAACTGTTATCTAAGATCCAGTGCCTTTCATCTGGGATACAAGTTCCTGGTTTTGGAAAGATAGTTTTCTTTTCTTTTGTTGATTTATAATTACAATGACTAATTTTCTGTTTATCAAGCCAAATTGAAATTTCATCTGGGGCATCTTTCACCATTTCCAAAAGTTTCGATAAAAAAAAATAACTTTTTCTTCCCAATAATTGAGATAAAGGTAAAATCTGATCTAAAACATTTACAAGTTCAATCATATCGTCTGGTGTAAAGGATTTATCAACATATATAACTGTGATGTCTTGTGTTGCTGTTTCAAATACTTTCACGTTGGTTTCACTTCCCTCTATCAATTCATTCTTGTACTCTAGTTTTAAACTTAGAGCGTCCACTTCAACAACTTTTATATCGTAAATCTTGTCTAAGCTGTATTCTAGTTTATCTTCATCATTATCTTCAGGTTGGAAATGTTTTATCAAACGAACCAAAGCATTGATCATTTCGGGATGTTTAAGTCTGTATTCAATATCGTTACTGACTTCACCATAACTTTCTGTACAACCTGGATTCAGAACTTCTTTTACTATTTCACTTAAAAGTTTCATCTGATAGATTTTT